TATTTATCGCTTCCTTGGAAAGGATCGAATCACGCCTACCTTCTCTCAGGAAGTGCTTCGAAGCAATTTCTGCGGTCATTTAATGCCAAAAGCAGTAGTTCCTGATTCGACAGTCCACTTCACCTTCAGTTCAGTGCCACAACCAACGATGTCGAGAGGGTGTTTAATCTTTAATCGGTGATGATGGATTGGAGAAACTAGGGTACATACCGCGTTGTAAATAACCGATGGATTGTATGCACTGTTTCGCCGTTCCCGAGGGCAAGTAGTGAAGCTCGTGTCGCCTATATGCAGATTAGCGGTCGATACATAGGCAACAAGAATTTTCGAGAAGTAAACTGCGGTCATGAGGTATCAGGTGTTGATTTGCATGCATCACTGAAAATGTCAACCTTCTTTCTCTTGGCGTCTCCAGGCTGTCTATGAGGCGAAAGCTAACGTCGAAGGAGGTCGTTCCTGAGGCGGTCGCACTCGTGCCATTTCATCTTTAGATATTGCGACTGGTGCTGTTGGAGGCTGTCCGATCGGTGATGAGGTGTTGAACAAACTGCGTTATGGATACTGCATTGCAATAAACGATGGATTACATACAGGTTATTTCAGTTCCGAAGGGTCAACGCTTGAATGACATGAAGCAGGTGTAGCTGTGCAGATATGAATATTAATCATCGATACGTGGACCATAATGCTGCTTGAGAAAACCACTGTGATAATGAGATGTTCAGTGTTCATTCACAGGCATCACTGGCCACCGCCGACTCAAAACGAGTAGAAAGAATTGACTTGACGAGTTGCGAATCGATTGCATCACCAGGCTGCTTTGGAGTCCCCGTCTGAAACGGTTTTGGCAGAAAGACGGCCGACCCGTGAAGAGACTCACGTCTGAAACTCGATTCCTTTGATCACTCGATTTCATTGCTTCCCACTTGATTACGCCACCAAAAATACCCTCGAGCAATTAAGTTTTTTAGGCTAAGGAAAACACGCCGAGAAATCGATAATCGGCTTAAACGGCACACTTGAAATCGGAAGGCAACGAACGAATTACTCATCGAAAAGTCCGGAGCGGTTGTCCCTCATCGTCATTAGCACGTTTACCGTTAGATCAGTGAGGACAGAATTGATGCCCGTTCTGAAAATGGTGCTTAATTGATTCTGCCTGTTGTTTTGGTCGAGGAGCGTACGGAGGAATGACCCAGAGAGCTTCCGGTGGCGCGATGCTAATCGCCCTGTTTTTCAAGGGCAGATTGCCTCTTCCGGCCATACGGCTCGATTACGGCATAGCAAGAGTTCAGCGGGTGTCGATGGAAATGGCAGGGTTGAACTTTTCCGACGCCCGGGGCACTTTCCCATGTTTTCGTCAAATATGATGAGGCGATTACGACCGTGGTGAAAGCGGCCTTTTGTGAAGTGACCCCATTGTAGTGGTTCACTGCCGGTGGTGCCACTCGAGCTCGGTTACACGGTCTACTTTCCCCCATTTTCACACGATTGCTGACGACATTGACACTCCGAAAGCATTACACCATGAATGCCAAAAAGTCAGCAGGGGTAATTCAATGAGGTGGTTCAAATCCGCAGGAAAAAGAGATTTATCAAAAAATTTACGACATAGAGCAAACGACAGTTTTCTAAGTTATACGGTAAATCACATTTCTGTAGGGGTATCTCAGACAGCTTTATCAGTTAAGAAGGACTAATAACCAGTTATTAATATTGTCGTTGTCACGTGGATCCAGGACTAACAGAGCTTGAACAGGACAGTACTCTAGATTTGCGACACTGATCGTTGAAAATTGTCTCAGAGGTCAAAATCAGGTATTTTCGCCGCCGTAAATCTGTCTCCACGAGATATTTCCGAGTTTTGCTTTGTCCTGCAGCGCGTCTGCGCCTAGTGCAAGTTTTCTCCAGAAAAAAGGTTCGAAAAGCAGGGAAATAAATGGAGATAGACCCCCTACTTACATAAGATTTAGGTTCTGCAAATCGTCACTCTCCGGAAAACATGCAGAAGAGAATTGCTGCCAAAGGAGTACAGGTGATCATTAAGGTATCGCCATAGTAAAGTAAAATAATTCTTGACGCATATCTGCGGAGCGAATGTTCAGATACCCTTGTGGTG